CGCCGTCGAGCGCCGACGACCCGTGGGTCGCCCGGCGCGGAGCGGTGCGCATCGCCGCAGCGGATCTCGGCGATCCCGGCGCGCCCGTGCCCCTCGCGCCACTCGCGCACCGCGCGAAGGTCGACCACGCGGCGTCACCCTGCGCGGAAACGTGTGGCCTCGGGCGGACCCCGGACCGCCGCGCGACGCCCGCAGGCCGACCGTCGCGACCGCGCGCGCGACCCGCCACCCTTCGTTTTGGACATGGCTGCGGACGAACGCGCGCGCCTCCCGCCGCCGCGAGCGCGCGCCGCCGGCGACGCGGACGGGGTTTCCGCCGTCCGGCGGGCCTGCGCCGCCTGGACCCGCGACGACGCGCCCGTTGCGTGGGCCGCTATGCGGCTGGCCCTCGCGCACCTCGCGTAGGAGTAAGCGCCCCCAGTCCCGAACGGCATCGCCGCAACCGTAATATACTCAGGCTCAGTGGGGGGCGACCCCGGACTGCTGCGAACGCGGGAAATACGACTCGTCCTAGTTTTGGGCCCGCCCGGGGCCCTGGCGCCTGAGTAAAGCCCCCAGCCGCCGGCCCATTATTGTCGGGGACGTCGTGGGTTCTCTGGGGCCCCGTCCAAGGCAAAAGGGGTTTTCCTGGGTGAGGTTCTGCCGCCGGCCGCCGGGCCTCCTTGGCCCGGGCAAACTTCGCTACGCCGCGCATGTCTCCTCCAGATGCTCAGGCTGTTCTTTCCCCAGTCTTTGTCGATCTGTAGAGAGACTTCTACCCTCATCCTAGTTACCCCACTGCGCTCCTACTGTGTTTCAGGACTGCTAGTAGGGGAAGAATCTGTGTCAATCAACGGATTCGCTGATGTTCCGGCCCTGATGTTCCGGTAGAGGTCTCGCGGATGTTCCGCCTTCCGGCTCTCCCGGGCCCCTCGGTCGCGTGTTCCGGTTCGCGTCCTCCGGTCGTGTTCCGGCGTGTTCCGGCGCGTTCCGGCGTGTTCCGGTGTTTCGGCTACTCGGTGGGCGGCCTCCTTACAACCTAATTTCCGGCGAGCGACGCGCGGGCCGCCTGCGGTTCGAGAGGCGCCCATCCTCGTCGTCGTCGCCGCCGCCGCCGCCGTCGTCGTCGTCGTCGTCGTCGTCGTCGTCGTCGTCGTCGCGCGCGCGGGGCCCCTCGGCATCCACGTCCTCGTCGTCGCTGTCCTCGACCACGACCTCCTCCTCCTCCTCCTCCTCCTCCTCCTCCTCCTCGTCGCCGCCGCCGCCGCCACCGCCGCCGCCGTCGTCGTCGTCGTCGTCGTCGCGCGCGCGGGGCCCCTCGGCGTCCACGTCCTCGTCGTCGCTGTCCTCGTCCATCGATTCGCGCGCGGCGACGCGCTGCTCGACCTTGTCGTCGCTGTCGCGATCGAAGTAGTAGCCCGCGGCGTCCTCGTCCTCGAAGTCCGAGAGCACGAACGCCTCCGACATGTTCCGGCGCGCGCCGCGCACGTGCGCCGGCAGGAGGCTGTGTTCCGGAGCGCGCGACTCCCGACGCTCCCGGCCGTTCCGGCGTACCGGCGCAGCCCCCAGACGCTGTTCCGGCGTCGCACGCCCTCGAATTTAGCGGAACACTGTTCCGGAACATGAAACCTCAACTTCGCAGGTTTCCCGCTGTCGTCGGCGCCCCCTTTATTGGCGATCCTCTAAGAGTGACCTCGAGCTCCGGGGTACGGGGTGGTAAACTTTGATTAAATCCTACTTGGGCGTACTCGGGGGGGGCTCGGGTGACTTCCCCTGGGTCCAGGACGAGTTCCTGGCACCTATTTTCTGGGCCGGTCGGTCGGTCGGTCGGTCGTCGTCGTCGTCGTCGTCGTCGCCGCCGCCGCCGACGCCGCCGCCGCCGCCGTCGTCGTCGTCGCGCGCGGGGGAGTTTCGAACCTAATTCAGACGCAGGGCGACCGTAGAGCGGTGATGAGTTGCCCCATGCCAGCTATCACGGTATATGAACCCGGGGATGCAAAGATCGAGTGGGGGCGCGCCCCGCAGTCGCAGTGATCGACAGTCTCGCCGCAGAAGGCCGCCAGCAGGAATTTTTGCGCTCCCGAACCCCGTCGTCGCTGTCCGGCGCAGCACGCGCGCTTTCCGTGCACCGCCTAGCGCAAAACGGCGCGGTGCCGGCGCATCACATCATCGCGGCGTTATCCGTCGGTCGAAACGATGCAGTTTTGTACGATTTTGATGAGGTTTTCGATTACTACTTCAATAAATCAACCCAAACGCTTTGCTTTATAACACCCCTGGGTCCTCACACTTAATTCACCGGCCGCGCTGAGCTTACGGCGCCCGCCGTCGGAAGCGGTTGGTGGTCCAAGTAAGCAAAATCTTACCGATGGCGACGCGCGGTGGAAAATTCCAGAGTGCTGGCGGGACGAAAGTCCTGAATCTCACAGAAAAAAGTTCGCACTTAACTCGACGGCCTGTCCCACGCGATCAAACGCGCCGGTTTCTGAGGGGTGGGAACAGCGCGGGTCAAAGTGTCCTATTCGCCTCCCCCATGCTCAGGTCGACTCTAAGTACCTTTAAGTTCGGCGCGAGCCCGTACTTCCCGAACTGGCGTGCTCCTTCAAACTCGGTCATCTTCCCCGCGCGCGCAGCTCCTGAAAATCCGGTGATTGACACTGGGAAGAATCCTGAGTGGCTCTGTATCAGCGAGCCACTAGGAAGGTACAAATCTCTCTATCTCTGTCTGTGACTCTATTCACTTTCTCAATCCGCAATGGCCAGGTACCTTTTGGGCTGGGCTCCTCACGGGCGAAAACCTGCACGGGCACGCCTAGAAGTCTACGATCGATAATTCTAGACTAATTACTAATATGGTGTTGAGACATCGCTACGTAGCAAGAATACAAGATTCCTCGGCAATAACCCACTGCGCTCGTTTCGCGTTATCACCGCAGACAACCGGTTTGGTAATCGCCAAGGGCAACATTTTGCAGGGGTTCGAGATATTCTGTGGAGCTCTCGCGAAAAGGCTTGAGTCGTCGATGCGCAGTAGCATCTCCTTTCTAACTACGTTCCGCCCACAGAGGGGAGGAGCTGATCGCCTAGTAGCAACCAGCTGAGTGACTAGAATATAGTCTTGTCAAATACATGTACTTAGGTCCTGTTGGAGAACCATACAATCTGCGTATTGGCATCCCGTGGAGAGGGGGAATTTGTGTCGTTATCACAATGCAAATTCTTAGATACATCAAGCTTCTCGTCAGTTCGAAAACCAATCGCTGTAGTGGACCAAAGATGTCGTTGTGTCTCACTCAGTATATGCGATGGGACGATGAAATTCGCAGAGGTAAACGAGAGGGGTGATTTCAGCACTTTTTTTGACGCTCGAGTCAACACAATTTACGTCGTTGATGCGGTGTTCCTTGATCAAGGAAATTTGCCTGTGCGTTCTCGAGTCGACAAACTGGTGCACGCTCATTGTATTTTTTTCATAGGTAATTGCAGTACTAGCAGATAATGGTCAGGGCTCTAGATCTGTTTTGTCGTATTCATTTGAGTTGGCTATTTTTTTGTCCCAACAATGCTCTTCAGGTACTTTGTAGCACTTGAATCCCAGATGTTGCGACCAGGTCCTTGGCGACTCGACGCAGCCTCGGCCCGCGTTCGATCCGCGGGATCTCCGTTCTGCAACTTTGTAAATAGGTGGGCTCTGCTGCCACGCGGTGCATTTCCGTACAACTTCCGGTCTCACTGCAGGGCGCTAGGAATTTGCTAATGTGAGCTAGAGTACCGCAGGTTGAAGGGCTTGTGATTATCGGAGGTCTAGAACTGAGTCTTTTATCTGTGAAACAAGAAAGCCATGCAAATTTGGTTGGGTTGCCACTTGCTAGATTTCAGCGCATTGCCATCCCTGTTACAGCCAAAATTGTTGCCGTTGTACCACATGTGTGTGCGCAAGTTTGGGTTGCTGCTGATGAATTGGGCTTCGTCTTTCAACTGGCCGAGTCTGTTTGCTTGCAAACTCGCCACAGCCGTAGTGATCTCTTGGACTGTTGAGTAGGTATATTGGCTTGAATTGGAGCCAGAATCGTGCAGATTGCGAATGGTCGGAAGGGTCAGCAGCATAGCGCCATCATGTTTTCGCCTGAGCTGTAGGGATATAAGCTTCGAAATCCCCCATCGTCAAGTCTAGGTTTAGCCTACATCGGCAATGGATACTACTTTGTTGGGTCTGCGTCATGCGACTCTGAGCTGATCAAGATTAGTGTGGATGAAAATGGCGATTCACAGCTGAGGCATGCGCAAAAGATTGCGAATACTGGTCCTGTTCTCGTGAGTTAGTGGGTCTTGTTAATCCATCTGCCAAATACTCTCAACGCATGACGTTAGGCTATGTGTGTTCTAGAACCGGACGCAGTTGGTCAACATTGTATTGCAGCCCTATGTGGCGCTGTTGACACGGGAAATCTTCGTGTTATCCATGCGGGTGTTGATGTCTCTGGTGGGGTTCCAATGAGCTTATCATTACACAAGCCACATAGTTTATGGGTACTGCGTGGTAACATCGTCATCGTTTTATCCGCTGGTGGCAACGCCATCACTTTAGACATTGCCAGAGATGGATCGGCGGCTGCACTTAGCACTCATCTGCCTGGGTACGCCGATTCTATTGCCACACTCTGCTGTTGTGATCTCGGGGACGTTGCAGTGCGAGTCTCGCCCACCGGCGTCTTCAAATTTCAGGATGCCTCTCTTGTTCACCACACCAGCGGTGATAGCGAGGTCTGGCGGCCATCTTCGGGTCGCATCACATCAGCTGCGGGTGACGGCCGAGATTCCCTCATCATTTCGTCATCTGATGGCAAGTTAGTATACTTTATGTTGCGTCATTCGAGTCTCCAGTCTTTGACTTGCTGCACTTGGACTGTGAACAGGTACTGCTAAGCGAACATCTTGAGTGCATAGCATCAAGACAACTTCTCGATGAGGCAAGCTGTGTGGCAATTAGTCCTGCCCAATCCTGTTTTGCAGCTCTCTGTGTGCCACCTGTAGTGGTAGCCACCACTTGGTCAAACGTGGCTCTTTGCTTGGCCATACGCAATAGAGAACTCGAAGAAGTACTAAATATTGATGTGCCAAGCGGCGCAGATTCGCCGAAGTTCAGTATTCCAAGTCTCGCTCGAGCGCTGGCTCTCATATCCATACACGAGCAGCCGTATGTGTTTTGCGCTACCGGTGAC